AGATACACATTATCTGTTGTATATATATGACTTGATGAGACTTAGACTACAAAGGGAGTCCACATGTGAAAACGATCTTCTTTTAGAGGTTAAGCTTATGTTCTACTGTTTTGATGTTTTCTATTTGGTTTTGATCTGGTATGATGAATTCATATGAATGAGCACTGTTGATTTAGAGCTACATGACACATCTTAAATTGGCCTGTTGTCATCTGTGGTGACCTTTCCTGTTCACATAAATCTGCAATCTGGGTGTTACTGATGATTGCTCAACCAACTTATAGTCACTTTTGACTGACAAGTGTCTCGGAACAGGCATTCTGATCTGTCTTTTTTGTTAGCTGCAGGTTCAAAAGCGCAGTAATGATATTTGCTTACAGTTGTATGAAAAGGAGCTGCTGACAGATAAATCTTACCTCCACATATACGGGTCTGTGTGCTGTTACTTCAACTACTACACTTGGTTTATCTTTAATGGAAATTATTTTTAACACTGAAAATAATGTGTGTGCTTATCCCATTAACTCGAGTGTGTTATTACAGGTTGCAGGAACATGAATTGGCCGCAGCTCAGCTGGCTGTTGTTTCTGTAAGAAATTACTCTCTTCATTTTGTATTGCTCATGATTATTCTGTCTTCAATAAACCTGGCATAGTAACATATGATGTGGCACTTTTCCTATAAATGGTTATATAGCTTTCTGGTCCCAAATCATGCTGTCGATTGACTTTGGCATTATTTCATTACTTTCGATCATTTTGACTCTGAAAAGCAATAGTATAGTATATCCATGGAGTATAATAGGTTTTTTGTGTTCTACCAAGAGAGAGTTATTCAATTGCATGACCATTTTTTTTTTTCATTCTCAGGCTCTACATCAGTGGAGAGATTATATAGCTCGTGAACAAGATGAGAGCACTGGTTATGTATTGCCAAACAAGGCTTTGATTGAGATAGGTATTACTGATTTTGTTGGATTGCTATGCTGCAAAACTTGATGTGTTGTCTTGGCTAACTTTCCTTTTGAATTCAAAAGCAAAGAAGATGCCTACAACCACTGCAGATTTGCGAAGAATCGTGAAAACAAAATATCCATGTGTTGAGGATAATTTTGACCTAATCTTGGACATCATATGGAATGCAACTGAAAATTCTGGTGCCTTTGAAGCAATAGCTGAGCAACTAAAGAAAGTACGACTTGGTGAGGTCAGTTTGGTTGAACTTTGTGGATTTTCTTTTTTCATTTATGTGTTAGGACTGATGATGAGTTTAGCATTGGTGTTTAAGGACTTACTTTGAAACTATATGCAATCTTGTGCAGTTAGACTTGAAAAGTATACTGGACACTGGTGAAGTTATCGAAATGGCTCCTTCGGATGCTGATAATGTTGGGATCAGTTTTGATCCAGCTGATCAATATTCTTTAGCTCCTTCATCAACTGCAAATATCAGGGTTACTTCTAACAGTAGGGATAGTTTTATGACTGATGCAACTTTGACTGGTAGCATCTGGCTACACGACAAAACCTCAACCATACCATCATCAGAAAATAGGACGTCTTGGGGCTTATCAGGCCTGACTAGACAATCAAACAAGGAAGTGATGAGCAATAATAAGCAGGTGAGACATACTCCTAGTATCTGCAGTCATTGTATTTTTTGGGGGGTATTTATATAGGTGCGTTGTGCAGGAGACACAGGCTCCTGTTCAAGAACTGAAGAGACCTTCGCCTTTTGGAGCTCTGGTAGGCAATTCAACATCTGGTAGACAGACAGATTACTTTGGAGGATTTTCAAATGAGCAGGTACATGCTCAGAAGTCACAACAGTATTTTCTTTTGAAATGTTCATTTAAAATACTTAATATCTGCTTGTTGATGTATTGTTTTCTTTTGCACTGCTGTGACGAATTACATATAGTACATCCTTAGCCTTATGCCAGTCTGCCATATTTGCTTATTTTTCTGCCTGTAGTTTTTGTTGATTAGTACTACGGTACTACATGTATTTTTCAAAGTAGTATTCACCGAGTATTCTGGAGAGAGAAAACATATGCCTGTGGAACAATTTCATGTGTCCTTCCATTTTTGCTCAACTCATCGAAGTTCTTAATATGCTCGATTGACCATTCGTTTAATTGATTTCTTAGTATCACAATATTATATTTTTCATCTTTGTTTCGCCGCAAGCATTTTATCTTCCCCTGCAAGTAACTCTGTTTAAGTTGTGGCGTCGCAGGCTAAAAGCGACGTTGATCAGATTCAGTCTTCAGCTTATTACTACCCCCAGTTCTCAGACTACAGCAGTTTAGCTGGATGGAGCCATCATGAACCCGAACGCACACAGGCCTCTGGGTTCATGTCTGGTTGCTATTACGGGCATGGCTACCAGTCGATAAACCAAAGCAGTACAGGAACAGGTCAGCCCGCCGCTAGAAATAATGGAGGGGGTTTGAAGAAGCAGCAACAACCTCCCCCTCATTCGGGTAACTAAAGCCCGCCGCAGTTTGATCCATCCATCCTGTTGTGCAGAAAAATAGTTATAGAGAAAGAGAGTAGGAAGCTGACCTGTTTTCACCCGTGCCCTCTCACATGAGTGGCTAGGCGCTGGACATAGCATTTGTTTCATTGACAGTAGACGGAAGACATGTGTGCTGTCATGTGGTGAATTGGATGTGTGTATGTAACAAGTGACAAAACATGGCGTGTTGTTGTGCAATGGTGGATGCTGGAATTGCACAGGTGGTATACTGTAAAACTGGTGGTATAGATAGCAAATACTTGAAGACAAAAACGCTTTTTTCTTTTGTGTTCCTTTTTCCTTTTTCTTTTTTTTTATCATACCTTGCAAAAGAGAAGTAGTAATAACGACGTCGTCTTTCTGGCGCGTAGAACATTGGAGTAGTTGTTATCATTCTGGCAGGAGCTCCTCGTGCCTCAAATACAGAAATGTGCGTAGCATTCTTATCAGAGAGTGGACCAAAGCTAGCTTAGTGGCATCTTAAGGCTCTCCGGGTCAAAGCTAGCTTAGTGATCTCTCCGGGAAGCAGAGATCGTGTTGGCTACATCTGGCTATAGGAAAGAATATACGCACCAGGGGGTGGTGCGTATATTCTTTCCTATAGCAACGCCCGTTCCAACAAGGCGCTATAAAATACTACGTACTACATCTGGTTGAAGATTAACAGATACTGTCAGGAAAAACAAACGCCCTCCTACATAAGCCAAACTTTGTGGCGGCCGTGTAAAGCTACCATCTGTGAGTGTGACAGCCACTTTTTAGCAGCCTGTTGTGCACACATGTCTGAATTCCGTCAGAGTCGTGGCGATCAACTTCCTCACCATCTCTTGTGGTTCGTCACACTTCTGTGGTACGCGGCATGCTGATCCGCGATTACTAGCGATTTTAATTTTATGTTTCCGAGTTGCAGAGAACAATCCAAATCGAGACAGTTTTTTTGGATTTGCTTCGCCTTACAGCCTTGCTTTCCATTGTCATTGCGAAATTGACTCGAAACCAAGGGAAACAAGACGAGATTCCGTGTTCGCTCATCGCACAACTTTCTTTTCTTCAACTGACCTTGCCCGCTGGAGGTATGTGTTCCGGTATTTGAACGGGTAGGGGTGACCGGAACCCTCCCACATCATCTCTGTTATTCAGTCGATACAGCGACGCGCTTAAAATGAAGGCCTTGCCTTTTCTCTTTCCTGCTCTGCCGTTGACGCCCTATCTTCGTACCTGGTGCTTCTGGCGCGTATTGAGCTTGGCGCTCCTTGAGATCTCGAAATAGCTTCGGACCAGCGCAAAGTCTAGATTGGTTGGTGAGCCTAGTGTCGTGGATGGTTCGTCACAGTTCTGATGTATTTTTTACCCCACTTCATAATTTATGCATCTCTCCAACGCGTTTTTTACCCCACTTCATAATTTATGCTAAAAAAAATTATAGGTACACTTTTCACACGAACCGCAAGACCGTACCTAACAAAATATCGGACAAACAATTCACCAACCCCTATAGATTCGCAACATAAACAATCCTGGCACGAACGAAGCAGAGAGCTTCTCCGGATTCGCCACACACATACGCCTCGTCCTCACCACTGTCAAGTGTCAATTTGGCCTCGGCTGCCTGCAATTTGCATCCCCTTTGATTTCACTTTCGCTGCAGTATATACACACAGCACACAGCCACCAGCACGGCACACACACACTGACGCGGATCCCCTGACATACGACCACCTGACGTTGGGCCACTGACGCGTGGGTCTGGGTCCACACGTCAGCGAGTGCGCCGTACGTCAGAGGAGTCCCACTCGACGCGGCCACCAACCCCCCGGCCCCAGCCTCTGACACCTCCCCCCGCCCTCTATAGATCTCTCCTCTCCTCCCCTCCCCGTCCCGCACCAACC